CTTTATCACTGTATGATCGATTGGTAAATTGAGCTTAAGTATGGTTGAATGATAGGTATTCACAAAATTTAGATTATAACACAACACAATTTGAGCAAATAATAAAATGTAACATAAACAGGCAATAAAAATCAATTCTTACTCAGTCTAATCACACATTTATGTAGTAAACATAATGAATGCTGAAATAACTAGTATTGAATCATTATAGATAGTTTTATGATCTTTATTTTGATCCAGAGTTAACTTTTATCTAACTCATAGTCATATTTTTTGTAATAAGTATTATGTATATACATAGTTACTCAATTAACTTCTTTAAACAAATTTACAAGCTCAATCAATTCTGTCTTTTAAAATCTCTCCAATATCACAATGATATAATATTAGTCAAACATGAATCTAAAGCATAAAACTGTACAAAATCTGATTTTAATTTACGGAAATTGTACCCAATGTCAATCAAACAATGTTATCAGTGTGCATCCGCCTAATTCCTTATCAGACAGTAATATTTCGTTAATCATTTTATCATATTAGATCAGTAACTTAATTACAAACCATCCAATACCATTATTAAGTCTTAATATTTTTCCACCCAGTAATAATAGAATTGAGGTCATAGGTAACTGTTTCTTGGAATTATTTTGTCAGCTGAATTATTTATTCACTCCTCAAAATATCCCTCCTGTATAGATTATAAAAGAAAATGGTAATTTAATATGGAGTTGAGATAGTGTAGTCTCGAAAAGAAAACGTTGTTAATTTTCGAATATGTACCGTTCTTATTCACTCACATTGGACATTTGCCTATGATATATATATATATATATATATATATATATATATATATTCCTGCTCCTTAACATATGGTTTATTAAATGAGTTAATTGTATAAATTTTTTCCATCAGGCAATCCATATACACATAAATAATCTATTAACAGTTTGAATGGTGAACACTGATTCTCGATTCAATGTATATATAGTTGGTTAAATTCATCCCTATACTGTGTGTACATGTGCAGTTATATTTTCATTACTATCTTGTTCACTATATCTATATTATTGCCACATGCAAATGTTGAAAAAGAGAAATCAATTAGTAGATTGTCGTTCATAAAATCATTAGATACTACTTATTATATTTATAAGTGGTCTGTAAAAAGTTAGTTCGTTTTCTTACTGAGATTGTTCAAATTTCATTTCTAATAAAAGGTAATTATAAGGGTGTGGATTTTGTGTATCGACGAAAAATTAATGATAATCATTATAGAATTTGTTTAAAATTTACAAACTCAGCATCTTTCATCTTGATGGACTGGTTAGTGTACAATGATTTAAATGCAGAAATAAAGTAGTTTAAATAATATTAGCTTATTAAATATTCAATTTATTCACCACTGGTATGTGAGATTTACAAATCAATTCGGTCAATATGATTATTTAAAATTTACTTAGTATTCTTTGTTTGGATCTTCCCATTGATGTTTTTAGGATTGCAACTGGTCAGTCTGTTATTGGCATATGTGCATACTGTGCGTATTGTCTCGATATAGCCTAAATTCACAAGTATAATAAGCAAAGATGGATAGCGGCTAGCAGTTGAATACAGGACGCACGTCTCATCCTACATGGGACTCGTCAGCTGGATGTACCTGCATCTCAGAGTTGATGTTCACTCTGGGACTCGAACTCAGTACCTTTCGCTTCAAACGCCAACGCGTTATCCACTCGGCTACTGAGTACTGATAACCACTTGCTATCTTTGCTTATCATGCTTGTGAATTTAGGCTATATAGCGGCAATCTGTACAGGATGCACATATGCCAATAACAGACTGACCAGTTGCAGTCCTAAAAACATCAATGGGAAGATTCAAACAAACAATACTAAGTAAATTCCAACTTCAACCCGTTGCACGAGTAAGTGGCTATCAGGATTCAGTGACCGAGTGGATGACGCGATGGCATTTGAAGCGAGGGTACTGGGTTCGAGTCTCAGAGTGAACATCAACTCTGAGATTCAGGTACATCCAGCTGACGAGTCCGGAATAGGACGAAACGCGCGTCCTGGATTCCACTGCCAGCCACTATCCATCTTTTCATTTCTTATTTATTTTTGTTTTCTATAGGTGATTTTTGAATTTGCTTTATTCTCTACTAAAAACAACAACCTACCTATTAGGACTTTTTCCTACTATTTAAATATTACAACAATTATTATTATCAGAAGGGGTTTTTTGTGTAGGTTTAGTATTTTCATAGTTGAAAGCGTGAGTCAATTGAAGCTAGACCACCAGGGAAAACCTGGAAGCACTGGACGGCCGTTTCGTCCTATTATGGGACTCCTCAGCAGTGCGCATCCACGATCCCACACTCGCGAGATTCGAACCTAGGACCTACGAGTCTTGAGCGAGTACACTTAACCGATAGATCACTTCTATGAATATACTGAAATCTCTACAAAACCCCTTCTGAACTATGATGTCTGTTGTATATTATTCTCATCTATCCTTCATCGAAAGACTGGAATACATTTAAATTCATGGATGATGCATAAACTACAAGATGAATTATAATTTACAATTAATATGTAAAATATCTTTTATAATGTTATAATAACAGAATAGATGGAAAAAATTTCACCAGTAGAGATGATTACTTCATAGTATCATTAAACATATCATTTGATCTGTTTCGAATATTCTACAGACATTTTAATGAGTTGATTATTTGAAGTTGAGCAAGTCGCCGGATATTGTATTTTTTTGCAATTTAAGTACATATACGGTAAAGTTGTTTAATAACATTTAAATAAGTAATCATTTCTCTAAAAGTTTTGAAAATGAAATTGATCAATGAAGATTGTTAGAATGTTTACTTTTTAAACGATTTAATTATGTAATCAATATTGTTGTTTAGTTGTAAGTAAATATTTGAAACCATTTTTAAATTGGATTTCAATGTTCAAAATATGTAGACAAAATAATGAGATTTAACTTAAAAGACTAAAATCTATATTTCAGAGAGAAAAAACACAGCTAGTTCTCGCATAATATAAACAATGATATACACTAATAAGAAATTAGATATTCTGAAAATATTAATCGATATTACTTACAAACTATAGTAGTTAGTTATGGAGGTTGATTTACATCAAAATGTTATAATATTCTATTCGTTTAACTGACTATGCACATCATTATTGGCCATTTTAGCAATGGTTTATTTGTGTTAGAGATTTGTAGAACTTGAAAATAACTTTCACAAAGAACTGGGGTCAACTAGAAATCTCATTTGTAAACCGATATTCATGGAGTAGCTATATATTTTTTTATGTCTTAGCATTTCCGAATAGTGTACTTTATTATGGAATTGAGCCGGTTAGTAAGCTAGTCTAAAATTCTGTAATCCATACTCTAACTTCAGTTAGTTTGCGAGTATTGTTATTTGTGAGCCTCTATTTCACTCTTGACTTGATTATTTTTAACAGTCATATTATATTTAAAATTATGTTTTGTTCATATTCGTTGTCTGTCGTTGTTTAGTAACGTAAATTCAATCTCAGTTACTAATCGTAGACAAATTTACACTTTCTTTAATATCTCATATATTGTTCATTTATGAGATTTAATTTATAATATTTCTCTTATTAACTTGGTACTGAGGACATTTTTTATGAGTAGACTCAACAGAAAAAGTAATTGAGAAGTTTATGAATGAGGTGATGTAATAATAAAATATCCTAAAGGATAGCACATTAATTCTTCATAGATATGGAGCAGCATTTTCGTTACTTATTGTGAAAAGCTATGCTCATGGTATACGTATACACATTGTTGAGTTAGTATAGTTTATGTCTATTGTGTGGACGAAAAATGAATTATTCGGTAAATGTACGTCAGTAGAACTTATTTAAATAATTAGCGGAACCAGTAAGGATTGATCATTTGCGTGGAAAAACAATGGCTCTTTGTAAAAGGGGTTGAAAATACTTAATTATGAACAGTCAGAAACTTTGACTTATATCTATGCGAATCAGTAATACAGAATAAAAATACTCGTCACTATTAAATTCATGATAAATCGATGATTTTACTGCCAATTTTTGTAACAATTTGACACCATCTGTTGAATTGTTGGAAAAAAATGCACCAAACAGTTAGTCATATTCACAGTTTTAGAATAGTCTAAGAATTTCTACTCCTATGCTTACATATGCATGAGACCCGATTCTACAGTTACCATGGTCAGAGCAGTATCAGGATTCACTGAGTCATTGATTCATTATCACTAAGCTAGACACTAGTTTTTTCAGAACGATTCATTAAAATACTAGTGGTTTACTTTAATTTGTCTCAAAATCAATCACACTTATGAGATCGTTTAAAATATATTAATTTAATTACTTTGAGGTAGTCAACCAACCGCTAACATATTTTGTATTAGCTTGTTAAAACTCCCTTTTTTTAGAAAAAAGAAATAATAATTGTCTGTTAGCTTGCTTCACTTTTAGTGTAATTCGATTACACATGCACATGCACACATATTTATGCAAATCAATTAATGTAATTAAAGAAAGACAAGTCAATTACATACTTTCTTTCAATCATATATCACCTGAGTACAAATTAACCAAGTAAAATAAAGTTAGTTACCAAGTTATAAACTAAATGTTGCAAAGAAAATAATTCAATTTATACTCTGTAAATGATTAAAAGAAAAGAAAAATCGTGGCTAATAGTGGAATTCAAGATGAGCATCTCATCCTATTTGCGACCCATCAGCTAGATGTAATATTGAGACAATCCCTATAGGATGTACATATACCAAAAGGAGACTGATCAGTTGAAGTCGTAAACATCAATAGGAAGATTCAAACAAACAATATAAAATAAATCTGTAAATGATTATTATAAATTTCACTTAGAAATTGAATTTTTTCATCAAATTACTAATGATAATAATAATCAAAATGAGTTATTTCATTTAAACTTACATATACTCTTTCAATTCATCAATTAACTCCATATCTTCCTCTTCATCTATTAAGCCAGATTCATCATCATCACGAACATCATCATCATTATTATTATTGTTTTTAAGTCCTATAATTAAATTGATTACATCTTTAGTAGCATTTTTCATTTCATCTGATTCATTCAAATTTAAATTCATCATTTTTGGTTGTACATGATATGAATGATGTTGATGATTGAATTGAGATAATTGTGAAGTTTTATTCATTAAATTATTCCTTTTAAGTTTATGATCAATTTTTTTATCTTGATATTTTTGTTGCTGTTGATGTTGTTGTATACCATGTGTTAAGGTGAGTAGAAGCGATATAGTTGCTATGACCATTGCAAGTTTCTTCATCTTTTGTTACTTATCAAAATGCTCAAAATAAAAGACAAATGTATAGAACTAATGAAGTAAAATAAAAAGAATTGAAATAATAATTCCACCGGTTATACAAATCATTAAAATTATGAATGTTTTGTTGAATTTGATTTCAATCAAGGAGATGAATAAAAATAGATGCTATAGTAACTAATTTTGTATCTTAGACAATTGAATATATATATATATATATACTTCTATTTACATGAATTCGCCTATTTGAAAAAAAAACAAGAAAAAACAACAACAACAACACAAAAAATGCAACAACAACGAAATGTATGATGAAAAATTCTTTTCTATCAGTAAATTTATTATACGTCATTTAAATGAAATAAATAGCATTCTTGTCAATTTTCATGATAAAATGCCAACCAATCATATTTGAAATAGGTCTAGGTCATTTTTTTGTTCTAAAATCAACATTATCATCTTTATTATGATTATTCTATTTGAGTGTTAGTAATGAGTAAGAAATAAGAAATGAGTATGTGATGAAGTGAATATAGTGTAGAATGGTAAGTAATACATCATATATATATATATATATATATATATATATATATATATATATATATATGTACATATATATACATACATAAATTGTAGTTGTGATGATGTTTATTGTTTGTATATTGAAAGTCAAAACACCGGTGGTTTTAAACAGATTGAATTATATGTAAATTAACTATCATTAAAGAAATGTTATTGAGTTCTATGATTCAAAATAAAATCAACCAAAATTTTTTTTTGTTACAATGAAAATTCAAGGATAAATTATGAGTAATATAGTGTGATAAACGAAACTTATATTCATTTGTGATACAACCTTAGTTGTAAAATGTAACCAGTTATTCAAACTTACAACACTGTCTGATAAATAGTTTATTATGCAACATTATCCACTTGTTTTGAACGCATTATAGAATTGTATATTAGGTGGTTTGAATTCAGTTCCATGCATACTGTACATTTCAATGTTCTGTCCAAATGTCTACAATTAAGCTTGATTAAATAAGTTTTTTTCTATATTGTAAATAATGGTAGATGTATCACAAGGTTGAATAAAGTTCATTTACTTTTTTTTAAATGGTGAGGAATTTTAAAATGCAGCTATGTTGGAAAAAAAGTTGGATTTATGCGCAAAATGTATTTGATTATTTTAATATTTGTATTAAGGTACCTATTTCAGTGTGCTCTCGTTTTGCTGTAATTATCATATTTAGAGACTACTTTGTTGGGGTCCGCGTGATCATCGTAACCAATAGTTGGAAACTCTAGGTGATATGGCTCAGAATCGATCACAATGGCACACGTGTATACACTCTTTATCTTCCCTTAAACCATGCGATTAAAACTGCTTCATATCTGTCTTCCCATACTATATCCTTATAAACAACCTTTCTTTTATATGTTACCACCACTAATATAACTACTTTTATGAATTCGGTGTTCATCTTGTTGTGCTAAGGAGGTATGGCAACTTGAACCGATGTATGTATGTGCCTGGTCCTACGTTGTAACTGACTAGCTGATGGAGGGATGATACGTGTGGCGTATGCTACTTATTTCGACAGACATAAGTAGAAGTAACACCAATCTGAAGAGAAATGTATAGCAGCAGAAGGTTATGAAGGTTGACTTGAACAAAATAGAAACAAAGATAGAAAGGAATTATGACTTTGAAGAATCGTACAGAATGTGAAGGATAAATGATGGAATTTTGCGAAGAATGTATTCAATATATAGCTCTCATATTTTACCAGAATATTCTGTAATTCTGTGTTAAAATACATTGATTGTCCCTACTTGTGGTCACGTTCACAACATAAGGTCTTCATAGAGTCCACTGTTAACTAATTTATTGTTTAAAATAGCAGTTTAAAGGTAGGAATTGACAAAATCACTTTGTGTGCGAAACAATATCGGCGATATATTTGTCATTAGTGACAGGTAGTTCGGTGTTCAATAAATCCCCATATCTTATAATAATTAATGTCCATCGTTATAATTTTACAGAAAAAAAGAAAGTTTCACTCGAAAATTTAATTTTTTTAAATATTTCGCTCCCTAATAAATTATTTGATTTTGGAGTGTCTTATAGAATGCACATAAAGATGAAATTTTAAACTTAGTTACGAGTGGAGCTGAAATAAAATCTCGGATTTTTACTCCTTACGCGACTGGAAAATGTTCAGTAGACTAATAAGAACACTAGTGAATTCCATTTAAAATTAGTCCTTTGTGGAAATGTAATTGATTGCATTTTATAAACAAAATTGTGAAATAAATAAGAAGTCATCTTTAACAATGAAATCCATAGATCTAAACAAATATTGTTAGTATCGCTTCAATATATACTGAATATTATTACTGATCGATTGAAAATAACTCTACAGAAGTCTCTTAAAAAGATATAAACAGTTAATCATAGTGTGACCTATCAAAGCCATTCTACTATACACTTTCAAATGACGAATAGTTTACCCTATTCAGTTTATCTTAATAAATATTAACTAGTTCATTTGTTGATATGGAGGCAAACACAAAGGGTGCTTATCTCGGCTTCTCAGTTATTATCTTTGACATTAATTTCTACCATGACTTGATAAAGAATAACGTAGATCTATTACATACTGAACCTTAAAACAATCAATGGTTTAAACAAAGTAAGATTTTAATTATTTTTGATTTGATATTATACACAAGATCTTAACAAATACTTTCAATCCTATTTTACATTGTTGAAGTACCATTCAAGGATATGTATATAAATATGCTTACAATGCTTTTGAATTAAGGCTATACTCACAGTATGCAAATATGCCAATTAGAGACTAACCCGTTGCAGTCCTAAACATCAATGGGATGATTTAAACAAACAATAATAAGTGAATGGTTTATCATATTTCATTCTTATTTATTATTCACCAAAATGTTTCTTATTTTTCTTTTCATTTTATAACTGACTATTCAAAATTATTGATTATCATTTAGATTAATTTCTAAATTAATGAAATACAGAATTTCTATGCTTACAATGATGATTTATTACTTTTTATGCACCTTTTTTTCACAATCTGCTGTCAATATTATTTTGAGAATGATATAGACAACTTAATGACCAAAACGTGCTACAATAAAAATTGAAGAGCATACTAATTTTAGTTAAATTAGATTACAGTTAGCACTGGAATCTATGACTCTTACTTCAGTATTTTTAGAACTCTTCCGTGAAGTGCATCACTTTCTCAATATTGATATCCATGATGGCACTCGAGCTCAGTATCTTTCGTTTCATATTTCGATGTGCTATATATCAAAGGATTGAATTCGGTTAACTACCTACTTATTCAACATGTATGAAGATATTAGTAACGATTTATAATTTTTTATCGTTGTTATTCAGAACTTACATCGATCAGTATCTGTTTACATCTGGGGAGATAGCTTTGATATTACTATCTACCTACAAGTCTCAGTAAACTTAACAATGTATTATAACATATTATATTCTATATCATATGAGTATACAATTCGGTGGATAACATAATATTTATGAGCTCCTATATATCATTGAAAACGGAATTGTCAAAATGAAATCCTTCGTTGAACCTATGGTTATGTAACAAAAATGACCTCTTCAAATTAAAATATGTTTGTATTTGATGACTAAAGAATATGAGTAGATTTATACCTAATCATTTGTTTTAACGTTAAATCTTATATGGTTCATCTCGTTCTTTTTCATAATATTTGGTGGTACTTAAATGATAAGGTTCCAAAGTTTAGATGTGGAATTGTTTAATACCATGATGTTATCACTTGTTTGCATTTTGTTAAGCAGGATAAAATGAGAGGAAATGTTGACTTTGTTTCTTCCTTGTTTAATTATGGAAATTTAGTCATTAATAAGCATGTATGATGAGATAACCTTACGATTCGAAGGATGTCTTTCACTGTCATTATGCCACTATCTACATAGAAAAACCAGCGATAAGAATTAAATGTAATAAGAGTAGCCTGATATCATCTGAACAAAACCACTGGGAGATTTAGAGCTACTTCACTCATATTTGTGATCATTCATAGGTCCTCATTCACAATCTAAGTGGAACTGAACACCCGATGTTTCACTTGTCAGAAAGTAAATTACAAATTTACTGATCGCGGATAATCATGTATCACACAAGGGATATTTATTATAAGTACTATATTCTGAAAATAATAATTACAGAACTCACGCCAGTTTACAAGCATGACCAATTTGATATAAATAGTAACATTAGATGTAGAGAACAAACATGTGATATAAGATTGTTTTAAGTTTACTAGTTCAAAAATTGTTTAGGTAGTACATTTATGACATGTATTACAGCAATGTAATGCATCGGTTGTGAACTTTCAGTTCTTCTTAAGTGGGCATCCTGTTGATTTATGAACGGTGCATTTAAGGTTATTTCTTGTGCCATAACGAATTAATTATAATGATCTACAACGAGAGAAACTAAAATGGAAACAAAGAGCACGGAATAACAAAGCAATAATTACTAAAATATGTCAGTCAGGTCTACCATAATGCATGTGTCATGGGACTCAGTGATATATTGTTCATGTTAGATATTATTCAAATTAGTTAGGGTTTTCAGGGACGGTGTTAACGTAAAGTAACAGCAGGTAGGTTGTTTTACTTAGTAAATTCAGTCATAAGAATGGTTAAACATTTAAAGTTCCTTTAATCTCACTTGTGGAATAAGATACACTTACAGGTGCTAGAACATTTATTGCATTCGCAGAGAAGTAGTATGCATCAATGCAGCGAACGAAGAATGAGAGTGATTTTATCTTACGGATAAATTGTAATAGATTATTCCATAGTCTAGAGAATTTACAGGTAAATTAACTCATATAAAAAGATAATTTATAATGGGTTTGTTTCACTAGTGACAAGGAGTTACGGATGTCGTGATGAGAAGTTTTTGCATAATTAATTACTTGACTAGATGGAATGGATAGTTTAGTAAGTATTTGAAGAAAAAGATTAAATTTAGTTTGAGTCTCCTTTTCCATGAAGGGTCGAGCACAAGTTTATTACATCTGGAATTATAATTCAAGTTACAATCAGTTCTAAGAATCCTAAGTGTTAATCGTCTCTGTACAGATTCCAACCTTAGCTTATCGTTTATGCTCACACTACTAAGAATAAGCGTGCAGTATTCTAGGAGGGGTTGAACAAATACTTTATACATAAAAATACGTGACTCGTTGTAATAAAGGTTCCAAGTTATGCAACCCATAAGACGATGAGACTTAGAGGTCTGTTTCAATAC